TGCATTTATATTGCCAATGAAATCAAGAACAGAATGGAATCCAAGTAGCGTCTGTAAATCATTGATGCAAAGCACTAGTGAAGCATATCAAAAACACACAAGAGATATGTCAACTATTACTTGTTAACTTCTGCTAGCATATAATCACAAATAATTAAATGGTACAAACTTTAAGTGATCAAATATATATATATATATATATATATATATATATATATATATATATATATATATATATATTTTTTTTTTTTTTTTTTTTAATGAATTTCAAAATAAGATCTAGCTTTTAGACAAGCACTGGTAAAATTCAATGAAATAGTTGTTATTATAAATTGATCTTGTAATATGCCAAGTGATTCTTTTCCAAAATATGCTTGACAAAACATTTGTCCTATAAACTACTGTCACGTTTTACTGTGTTTTCTGTAAACGTATGTACTCTCACCAATACAAAAATTCATAAGAGCTCAGAATAAATTAGACAAACTCTGAAAAAGACACAAACCGCAACAAATAATTTTTCTCAACACCCTAACATAATGTGATAGTACATTATGAGTGACAGTTGCACAAAACTACATTACTATTTTAACCCCTTACATTTATATAAAACCTACTGATGTGTGTTGACACATACCCAAACATTAGCATGACTCATAAACCAACCACTTTGAAAACTCCTGACTGAGGTTATAATTTCAAAGGAAAACTTACCTCACACTGGCACATGAGGTTTAGGAAACTTAATGAAAACCAATTAAAATGTCTATGTCTCAAAAACTGCCAACCCAGTAGACAACATTTTGGGCCAAAAGTGCTGTCTAGGGTAGGCATCTGAGACAGCAGAATTCATGTGAATGTGTGTAAAGGACTCTTCGTTTTGCCTCAGCATTTGTTTACAGCTTTAGGTCTCCATAATATACTTCTTAACACATTAAACGCACTAAGTATTTAATTCATGAACATTTATATGGCGATATTGTTTTGTAAACAGCATCAATAGATTAGCAATGCTAGGTAGCAAGCTCGTTAGCTTCAGGTACCCTTCCTTGTAAACTGCCGCTAAGAGGAACTATTAATACCATAATGTCAACCAAACGTACGTCATTTAAATATAACCTGAAAATCAAGACAAACATTTGTTATTAACCCACTACTGTTATTCTCCGAGGCTTTTGAGATATAATGATGTAAAATGGCTACCTATTCTTAACTGGTGTGTAATATCACAAAAATGTCTCTCTTCCTTATCGACACATTGCCAGACACGTCCATTTAGTTTTCATTTATGTCAAACCGGGACGCCTGACACGTGTTTAAAGATTTTTAGTCTTACCTGTGTGTGTTTGTAACGTCGAGCAGTGTGAGGTCGAGGCCCTGCGCTCAGTCTGTGTGTGTTTGACTGGAGATGACTGGGAATTCCGTATTAGAGCGAGTGAAACGTCATACGCCACAGCGCAGAGACACACAGCGACGCCTACTGTCCACTCACCGTAGTACACCAGCTGCGTAGGAGCTTCACTCTTTCAGGTGCCAGGAACCACTTTGACCATTCCTGCTGCGAATGACTCAAAAAATGTGTGTAAAACCCACCAGTGGTGGAAAGAGTACTGAAAAATCATACTCATGTGAAAGTACCATTACTTGCCTAAAAATGTAGTTGAAAGTAGAGTAAAAGTATCTGTTGTAAATATTACTCAGTCAGTGAGTGGTGGAAAGAGAACTGAAAAATCATACTCAAGTAAAAGTACCATTACTTGCTTAAAATGTAGTGGAAGTAGAGTAAAAGTATCTGTTGTAAATATTACTCAAAGTATGAGTAAACCTTCCAAAAAAAAGTAGACCTTCCAAAAGTACTCGAGAGTAGTGACTAGTGAGTATTACGCTGTAAAAAGCTGATTTGTTTACATGTAATTTGTGCATGTGTGTGTAAACGTAACATTCTGTAGTGCATTTAGTTATTGCCCAGCAGGCACACGACATCATAAGACGTTAATACTAGGTTAGATTTAGGTTGTGATGTCAGGTGACCAAAATTCAATAGCCAGGGTCTAGGGATGTTATTTTGATGTCCAATAATGACGTCAAATGACGGTGATATTTGGTTGATTTTAGGTTGTGTTGGAAAGTGACCAAAATCCAACGTCCAGCCAACATCTAAAACCAATGTCATTGACGTCAAGTACTGACACTTATTCGTCAGGTATGGAAACCAAAATCCAACGTCTGATAGACGTAGTGGTAACATCCACACAACAACAAGCTGTAACATCATTAGACGTTGATATTTGGTATAGGTTGGACATTGACGTTAGGGTACAATGTCAATCTGACATGATGTTGATGTCTTGCGTCTTTGATTAAGGCCATTTTGGTCATCATACAGTAAACATCCTTAATTTTTTTTTCAAAGACATGCATCTAAACAGCCTCTGGGTCAATGCATGTAAAAATTTAGACATCTTGGACATGTTTAATGCTTCCAAACTGTTTGCTGAAATTATAAATCGCCCTTGTCTTGAGGTAGTTCATTGTGATGCGATTTAACTTCTTTGTGTGATTTGATTGGACACGAATCACAAGACAGTTTTTCTAATCTCCATAAACAACAGAAAAGTAGTGGAGTAAAAGTAAAAATACAGCACTAAAAATGTACTCAAGCTTGTAAAAATACACATTTTTAAATCTACTAAGTAAATTACAATTCCTGAGAAAAACTACTCAATTACAGTAATCTGAGTATTTGTAATTAGTTCCTTTACACCACTGCTCAAAGTATGAGTAAAAAGTCGGCCTTTCAAAAATACTTGAGTAGTGAGTGTTACACTGTGAAAAGCTGATGCATTTACATGTAATTTGTGAATGTGTGCAAACGTAACATTCTGTAGTGGATTCAGGTATTGCCCAGCAGGCACACATCATAATACATTAATATTAGGTTAGATTTAGGTCGTGATAAAGGGTGACCAATATTCATTGTCTAACCAGCATCTAAGGACAATTGGTTGATTTCAGGTTTTGTTGGAAAGTGACTAAAATCCGACATCAAGCCAACATCCTAAACCAACATCAGATTAAAGTCAAATACTGACATTTATTCCTCAGGAATGGCAACTGAAATGTAACATCTGATGGAGGTCTTCCACACAACAACAAGCTGTAACATCATTCATTCATTTTCTTTTTGGCTTAGTGCCTTTATTAATCTGGGGTTGCCAGCACAATTTATCCAGCACATGTCTTACGCAGCGCATGCTCTTTCAGCTGCAACTCATTTCTGGGAAAACATCCATACACACTCATACACAACGAACAATTTAGCCTACCCAATTCACCTGTACCACATCTTTGGACTGTGGGGGAAACCGAAGCACCCGGAGGAAACCCACGCGAACGCACGGAGAACGTGCAAACTCCACACACAAAAACCCAAATAACCCAGCCGAGGCTCGAATCAGCGACCTTCTTGCTGTAAGGCGACAGCACAGCGGTAACATCATTAGACGTTGATATTTAGTTGATTTTAAGTCGGATGCTGGACATTGACGTTGGCCTGATTTTCATATTCAAACAAAATGCAAAAACCTCATGACATTGGGGTACAACATCAATCTGATGTCAAGTGCCTGCTGGGTGTTTTATATATGAACACATAGTTGAAGTCAGAATTATTAGCCCCCCTAAATTATTAGACCACTTGTTTATTTTTTTTCTCCAATTTCTGTTTAACAGAGAGAAGATTTTTTTTTTTTCAGCACATTTCTAAACATAATAGTTTTAATAACTTATTTCTAATAACTGATTTATTTTATCTTTGCCATGATGACAGTAAATAATATTTGACTGGATATTTTTCAAGATACTTCTGTACAGCTTGTGACATTTAAAGGCTTAACTAGCTTAATTAAGTTAACTAGGCAGGTTAGGGGAATTAGGCAAGTTATTGTATGTCAGTGGTTTGTTCTGTCGATTATCGAGAAAAAAATATAGCGTAAAGGGGCTAATAATTTTGTCCCTAAAATGGTTCATAAAAAATTAAAAACTGCTTTTATTCTAGCCGAATTATAACAAATAAGACTTTCACGAGAAGAAAAAATATTATTAGACATGTGAAAATGTCCTTGCTCTACTAAACATCATTTGTAAAATATAAAAAATCGATTTGGGCTAATAATTCTGACTTCAACTGTGTATGTGTGTGTGTGTGTGTGTGTGTGTGTATATATATATATATATATATATATATATATATATATATATATATATATATATATATATATATATATAACAAATACATGGGGAGCAAAGAGAAGGGGGAAGGATAGGCAAAGGACCTCAAGCTGGGAATCAAACTTGGGTTACAATGAGCAAATCAGTGCTATATGTTGGCGCACTTTATCACCAGGCTATTGGTTTAAGGCCATTTTGGTCATTATACAGTAAACATGCATCATCTTTTCATCAGTCCCTGGGTCACTGCGTGTAAATATTTTTGACATCTTCTTGGACACTTTTAATGCTTCTAAGCAGTTTGCTGCGATTATAAATCACCCATGTCTTGAGGTAGTTCATTTTGATGTGATTTACCTTCTGTGTGCGATTTGATTGAACAGGAATCACAGGACTTACAGGACTATTTTTCTTTTGCCTAATTTGTATTCATTGGTTGTAAAACATTTTAATGAAGCTGTTTTATTCAGTTGAATCTTATTTATCCTGCATTTAATTTTATTAATCTCTCAGAACTATTAAAACTTGTTTAATGAGTCTTTACATGTTTATTTGCATTTTACAATTATTCATTAAAATATTCAATTTCATATTTATTATTTTACTATGTTAATTGTGTTGATTGATTTAAAACTTATTTTTATTTTAGGAATAAAATAAATTATTTTGACAATGTTTTTCCCCCATTTCCCATAAATTCAGCCAAAAGAATAAAAAAATATATAAAAGAGTTTCATTAAAATTGTGCAGCATAAAACACAAAATAGCTACTAACCATCTCTGAATAGTTTTATCATCATTCAAGCATTGTACATGCAGCAATATAAAGAAATTTTTATATTTTTTAATGTGCAAAAACAAAATGGATGAATGAGATGACAATAAATCTCATTGACAGATGATTCAATATTTCAGATAGCAACTAATCAAAATTAACTTAAATTCTGTACACTTTAATTTCCTTTCCATATGAATAATAATATAAATGAACAGTCCTCTTATATTACAGTTGAGTCTCATACGATGAGACTACTTCAAAATGATATATAATACTGTACAGTATAGAACAATCTGACTTCCTTTTACACAGAAAAATCCCCCTTTAGCTCTTCTTTCTGTAAAACATTCTCCTCAAAATCAGGAGACTCGATTTCTTCTTTTATGCATGGTTTTTGAGCTGCATACTCTTTGACATAGCCTAGTTTTCTCAGCGTTCTTCTGATTGTAGAGTCATGAACTTTAATTTTAGTCAGGGCAAGGAAAGCCTGCAGTTCTTTAGAAGTGATGTCGGGTTTCTTTTCGATTTCATTCATGATTTTGAGTTCTACACCCGGAGAGATTTTAACCGGTCGACCACTTCTGGGGAGGTTCATTAAGGTTCCAGTTGTTTTCCATTTGCGGATGATGGATCTGATGGTGGATCGGTGCATTCCTGTAATCTTTGAAATGGATTTGTATCCCTTACCAGACTTATGGTAAAAAACAATCTTTTCCTTAACAGCTTCTGGAATTTCACTTGATCGTCCCATTGTGGATTTGCTGGCAACCTTACACCTATTTAAAGGCTATGGAACACAAGAAAGGCTGCTGTATTCAGATGAAGATTCAGGTCGATCTTAATGTGTCCAACCACGTCAACAATGTTTCTGCGAAAAGAAAAAAAACAAAAATAACGTCTGAATCCATTTTTCTTGTGATATTTAATAATAGGCTTTGACATGTTCATATGATATAGTTTAATATTAACAGAATATGAAGTAAATATATTGGGTAAAATGGCATTGATGAACAAAAATGTCTGTAAATTTAGTGCACTAAATATAAATATGCAAATAAAACTAAAATTTTAAATATTAATAAAACAAATATGGGCGGAAATCTCATTAAGAATTATTTTTCTCCATAACAGAGTGGCCAAAAAATTTAAGAAGTAAATTAAATAAATCACTAATAAATAATTACATAAAAATGTCTATTATTATAATAATGGTTTGAGAGTTGCATTTTAGTCCAAATGAATTTATGACAACTACAACGACTATTAATTAATAGGGGACTAATTAATTAATTAATTAGGGGACTATTAATTAATTTACTGTGCGAATATGCAATCATAATCCATGAAAGGCAACTTTAATCTGATTATGAGCACTTTAAATTGTTACATAATCTAATTACATCTAAAATATTTAAAATTTTATTTGTATTTACTGACATTTGATAAATAAAATAATGAAAGTGATTAATGAAAATAATTTTCATTAAATCATTTAAAGAATCAATCATATTTAAAGTAGTGACTCATTTGCCAATTCATTACATTGTTAAATAAAAACAACAAGTACAACACTTAAAAGCAACTTACGTTATTTCAGCATATGATTTTACATTTATATTGTTGCTTGATTTTATTTAAGCAAGGATTACAAATATCTTTAAAATTTAAATATAAATTTTTTTTTTTTAATTAGTGTACAAAATAAAAAAGAATCACTGAAACAAAAGAGTTGACAGGGAATCAAATAAAATCAACTTCTCTCAACACAAACCCATATAATTACCTATTAATTTGACTTAACCCTTTAACCGCCCCAGCAAGAAAGAAAAAAATGGATTGCATTTCTTAACCCCTAATGTTGCAAGTTAACACACTTTTTTTTTTTTCAACACACCCCATAATTTCTAAAATATCAACCTCTACCAAATGTTTGATAAGTCGGTTTATGGTAAAAAGTATCGTAATTAATACATATACTTTGAAAGATCTGGATATATGAATCATAAGACCAATTTATGTAAAACAATCAAAATAAAACATTTTTGAATACTAAATCATCTTTATTTTTTGAAGTATGCCATAAAATATTTCAGATTCTCATTTAACATGATTGTGTTTGTTTGATTTTTTGTAAACCAACAATGCCTAGTGTGTAAACTATTATTTAAAACAGTCAACATCAACCATTTGGTACAGCAGGCAGTTTTATGATTTGTTACACTCTCAAAATATCAGCAAAGCTAACATCTAGCAATGCAAGCTAGCATCTATTTAACATATTCATTTCAACAGACGCGGAGGAATACATTAAACAATTAAAACAATGCCAAATAAAGCAATGGCATTGTAAGATGAATACAAATTAACCTAAATCACCCATTATTCACCTGCTGAAAATTAATTACTTAGCATGTGTATAATTAATGGCTGACAAATGTAAAAACCCAACACGCGACTTAACGAAATAAACTGATAAACATATTTCCCTCAGTTATATGGAAAAACGAAATAGCCGATAGGTACATAAAGATGGGCTGTTGAATCTGACCTGTGCTCGTCTCAGAGGTCCAGCTATAATAGGTTTAGGTCTGTGGTGTTACTTCAGCCTGACTGGAGATCCTTCTTCTTTTGGGGTTAATAACGGTTTGCAAACCTACATAAATGGTGCATTCCCGCCACCTAGTGTGGAGCACATGGTTGAAACAGCATGAAATCAAGGATTTCAAAAGACGAAGGAGACTACCAGGAGGGAGGAGAAAAAAAAAAACTATTATTAATACAAACGACTTATTTCATGTTTCAATTTAACGATTTTAAAATTCTTTTGATCAATTTTTACCAATTTAAACAACAAATTAATTGATATACTAGTTTCGGCCAATTCTTAACAGGACCTGCAGTGACAAGTGGTTTACACCAAATATATAACTTGATTAATTGAAATCTCTGTCATGCTCTATTGTTTCTGCTTGTCTACATTTTCACAATAAACGCAAGCTCACGTTTTATGCTTTCCTATTCTATTTAGACACTGATTTAACAATGTTCAATACACATTCTTTCTGCATCTAGGAACATACAATCTCTATGGTGAAAACAAATGTCTGATTTGACCCTCTTTTTGATATTCTTACATTGAAACGTATACTGGTGCTGCTTAATTGGATTCAGGATCTTTTGTACCATCTGTGAATATTTGTATTGAGCTCTATTATTCTTTATATGCTGTACTGCTGTATTTGTTAACATATTTGTTTCTTTATTATGCTTTTTTATATATGTGCATATGCACTACATGCATATAAATAAGTCCTCTAAATCTTGGAGGCAATCAACCCACATCCCTTTGTATTTCTGTTGTTGGCAATGATCTTACTGCTCAGCAACAGATTCTAATTGTCTTTGATTGATTGCCTAGATTTTGAAAAGTTGTGTTTTAGCTGCTGAGCTGTAACATTTTTTTATAAGAAAGTAATGAAGTACTCCCCATTTAGCTCCTAATAAACACCTCATTACATTTACATGCAATTATCTGCTATTTTCTGAATATGTACTTTAAAAGTTCATCCAGATTCCAAGAAATCTAACCACACATGCTCGAAAATCTGTCCATACGTTTTCATATTCAGAATTGGAATAACTTTCCTTTTTAAAAAAACATACCCAGACAGCGAATTCTTTGGAGGTTGGACAATGAAACTGAAACGCTGGTTTTAGACCACAATAATTCATTATTTTTGGGCCAATACAGCATCCATTCATATTGACAGATACATGTCCTGCACAGTGGCCAGAGAGATTTTGAGCCACTATTCTTGCAGAATATTGGCCAGGTCACTACGTGATGCTGGTGGAGAAAACATTTCCTGACTCACTCCTCTAAAACACCCCAAAGTGGTTTAATTATATTTAAATCTGGTGACTGTACAGGCCATGGGAGATGATCAACTTGTCTTGCTGTTATCATACTGATACATGGCACAGCCTTCAGCATACAACCAAAGTTCAAGTCCAAGTTGGCAGTGACACGCCCATCTAGCACAAGTATTGGACCTAGCCAAATCCCTCACTGATCCACCCCATAGATCCACCCCCATTCTTCACTCTGGGCATGCAAAAGTCTGGGTGATACACTTCTTAGGGGCTTCTCCACACCGTAACTCTCCCAGACGTGGGATAGACAGTGAATGTGGACTCATAAGAAAACAATACATGTTTCACATTGTCCACAGCCTAATATTTTCGCTGCTGACACCATTGAAACTGACGTTTGGCATTGACACGAGTGACAGGGCTATAGGAGCCCAGTCTTGTATACTGACCGTGTGGAGCTCCTGACTAATTGTTTTGGTGGAAACAGAAGAGTTGAGGTGCACATTTATTTCTGCAGTGAGTTTAGCAGTTATGGTTTTATGTTTTTTGGGTACAATCCAGATTAGCACACAGGCATCCTTTTCAGACAGCTCCCTCTTGTGTCGACAGTTACTCCTGTTGGATGTGGTGATTCTTGGTGATATGCTGACATTAGCCTGCATATCGTGGCTCTTGATACATCACAAAGACTTGCTGTCTTGGCCACAGATGCCAGCGAGATGGCCACCAACAATTTGTCCTCTTTTGAACTCTGATATTTCACCCATAATGTTGTGTGCATTGCAATATTTAAGCAAATCTGTGCTATTACTAAGCTAATAGTAATAGTAACTATTTAACTGTGCTAGTTAAACCTTCACACTCTGCTCTTACTGTTGGAATGTGCAATCACTGAAGATCAGCCAAGAGGCTGGTCAAATTAAGCTATGAAACCTCTAAATAGACCAACACTAAATTGGTCCAACCTCTGTATCTGGCATATGTTCTGGTCCACTATACGCCAGGGTCCTCTGCCCAAAACCAGCACACACGCACTGGAAAACAACATTTATATTAGGCCCAGATCTGGCCCACTCCAAGTTAAAACAGTGTATGGTTTCATGTGACTCAAGTATGGCGCTGACACTATCAGACAGATCTGGCTGAGATCCGTCTTTGTCCTCAGGCAAGGTCTGGAGCAGGCACTATTAAGACAGACAGTTGCTCGCCTTGCCAATTTACATGTGCGACTAGAGTTCATTTAAACAATCAATGTGTCGCATGATGACAAACAATAAAATCACATTCATAGTTACTGACAATCCAGTAAGACAAGAAAAGAAAAATATTATACAGTACAAATCCACATGTAGGTGTACCTGCAGCTGTTTTTAATATGTTGGCCATGAGAATACTAGTTGTGAAGTTTTGCCAAAACAAACTAACACAAATGCCTAGATTTACACTTATTAAAGCTCATGATCACAGGCTTATTATGATCATCAGATGTGTGTACACCATTTCAGAAGTTCTACTGCAGACTTGTACATTACTGATATACAGTATATACAGAAATAACTATTCATGCTAAACACAGCAAATTATAAAAAAAAGTGCCAGAAAAGATACAAGTAAAAAAAGAAAACAAGCATGAAATAAAAAGAACGTAAAAAAAAAACAATTCAGTTAATTTGCTCACCCTCAAGCTATCCAATAGGTGACTTTTTTCAGTAGAACAATTTATTGAAGTCTTCTGAAGTGAAATTAAAGAAACTGAACATCATTACCCTGAATCCACAGCTTCAGCAAACAGTTACAAGGACGTTCACGACATTCTGGATACTGATATGAGAGTGGCCGACACAGTCATGTGAAAAAGTTACATGCTTTTTTTAGTATCAGGACATAATAATATAACTATATGGTCCTTGGTAGGTTTTAAAATCTGTTAAATAAACCTCAAATGAAGACCACATGCCATCTCATACTGTGTCATTATTAATTTAACAAAAATAAAGTGTAGACTGAAAAGCAATGGGTAAAAATGTACTTAAAGTAATGATTGTCTGTATGTATGACCATTCTGGACCATTTTTGGAGTTTTTGCAGTTCTCGCCAATGGCATTTCAGTCAGGACTTTGAGGTGAGCACATTCAGCACATGACTGTTAGCCATCTTGTATTAGTTAGTTATATCATCAAGCAATAAATATTTGGAATTCAACATAGTGGCCATTGTTACCATATTGTTGTCAGTCTACTGAAACTGTCCTCAAGTTGTTGTAAGAAAATCACTGATAAATTAACCTTAAATTGAGTTAAATGCATGATTAAAATGCGGACAACATGAAGAGTTAAGAATTCATTGTGTTTGTAGTGTGAATTGTTGTAAACCTATTTGTTTTAAACAGAAACCTCCACTTCTGCTACTTCTGTCTTTACACAACTTCGTTCAAAAACTTGAGCGTGTTTCTCAAATCGAAGATGAGCATTTGATTTCTTGTTCCTTCGCTTTGCTACCATCTCTCGAAGTTTGATTTGGTCCAATCTCCTCCTGATCGTAGATTTGTGAACATTGACTTTTGCTATAGCAAGACAAGTCTGCAGCTCTTCCAACGTTATCTCAGGTTTTTTTGCGACTTCCTTTATGATTTTACGTTGCATCTTCGGAGAGATTTTAGTCGGTCGACCACTCCTGGGACGATTCATCACGGTTCCAAGCATTTTCCATTTGCGGATTATGGATCTGATTGTAGATTGGTGCAGTCCAGTGATCTTTGATATAGATTTGTATCCCTTACCTGCCTTATGGTACATAACAATCTGTTCTTTGAACTCCTCTGGAAGTTCAGCAGATCGTGGCATTATGCATTAGTTGAACAAATTTCTTGTGTTTAATTTGAAACAAATCAGGCTGATTCCAGGGTTACTGCAGCCTCACACCACAGGATATCTGAAAGAGAGCAAATAACAGAAACCGTATAGTAACAAATTACTATAACAGTTTTTATTTTTGCAATTTTACTGCAGGGGAAATAAACAAGTGTCAGAATCAGCCCAGCTTATAGTGACACATTTAATAGTTGAAGAGGACACTGACTGGCTCACAACATCACATTACATGCTTTGTATTAACTTTCCATCTAGTATCTTATAGTAGTAATAATGATTATTACGCTGAAAACAGATTGTGCCTTCTAAACTGTTTGTCACCTTTAACCGTATTAGTTCAAGGCTGGACTCTCTGACCTGAAAACACGCATTCATTAGGGTCAGAGGCTATTTATGGCAAATTATTATCAACCAATTGTAATACAGTTCTGTCTGGTCACTGTATTACTTGTTGTGGTGAAATAATGGGTTTAATTTTCACTAAACCAAAAAATGAAAAAAGACTAAACAAATTGTTCAAACTTAAGATTACACATGTAAAAATGTTTACAAAGTGTAAAAAGACAATAAAGTGAGTCATTTTCTTTACTTTTGCATTAAATCTCTGTTGACTGAATCAATGAGTTACACTAAAACAAAATTTGAATAGGTTACCCTGACGTACAGCAGATGGTTTATTTTAGCGCTGCACAATATATAATTTCAGCATCGATATCGTAATATGAGGGTCAGTGACATCGTAGGATATGCAATGTTGAGTTTGGATTATAGTTGATCAGCTTAACAGTTCAGAATACATGAGATTAGAGGAGTCATTGCAAAGTATAACCATAACAGAGTGAAACTTGATCATTTACATGTGTTTTAAAGGCAATTCAAGAGAGTTCAAAGCATATAGGTACAAAAAAGAACAGTTGTAACTTTAATGAAGAATAATTTTACTGATATATTAAAACAATGAACACTATAAAGTGATACTTTACATTTTATTGTTCACTTTCTGTACCAGAATACTGTTAAACTCTACATTATCTGACAAAAGTCTTGTCGCCTATCCTAGTTTTAGGAGCAATGGATAATAACTTGACTTCTAGTTGATCATTCAGTGTCAGAAGTGGCTAATATGAAAGGTATGAAGGACTTATTTTACCAAAATAAAATATGATCATGCCTTGATTTTTAATTATTCAATTAGGACAGTAAGGTCTGACTTTGCTAAGACAAACATCTTGTCACTTGTTAAATAAATAATGTACAGTATAGAATATAAAGTCATGGTGCAGTGGAGAAAGAACAGATATTGTGTATGACTCCCATGACCTTGTAGGACTGCATCCATTCACCTCTGCAATGACTCAAATAGCTTATTAATAAGGTCATTCAGAATGCAGGACTCCCAGAGTTCAATATTCTTCAATTCATCAATTTTTTTTTTCATCATTTATTTACATCTATATTTGAAACTTATTATAAATACCTCAATGTACAGTTTTTGTGTTGTAGGTCTCAGATGAGCGGACTGCTGGAAGAGGATGGGGTGGGGTTTTTATTGTTTTTATTTTATTATTATTTTTTAAATGTGTGTGTTTTCATTTTAAATAAAAATAAAGTTATATTTACCCCACACTGGCTATTCTACTTGTTGCTCTATACATAGGCCTTAGGCCTGTCTATCCATCTTCATTGTGATTGAGCACTGGTAATCCAGATTTAGTGATCCTGAAAATTTCCTATGCGGATCAGATTGATCCATTTTAATGTTGCTTTGAAAAACTGGCTCAAAAAGTAAGCTGGATTAAGTGATCACGGATCGCAAAAACAGGATGACTAAATCCGGATCAATTTTATCTGAATTAAACCTTTTGAAAAACCGGGCCCAGGTGATTCATCTGAAAAAACTACCTTATGTCACTTTTCCAAATGATCAAGTAGAAGTCAAGTTATTATTTGTTGCTGTTACAACTGAGATCGACGACAAGACTTTTGTCAGGTAGTGTAGACTGAAAACCACAAAGTACTGTTTATGTTTACGGTTTTGCTTCTCTATTGTAATAATTTTTGCTTACAATTCATTCATTCATTCATTCATTCATTCATTCATTCATTCTCTTTTCGGCCTAATCTCTTAATCTGGCGTCGCCACAGCGGAATTAACCACCAACTTATCCAGCAAATGTTTTACGCAGCAGATGCCCTTCCAGCTGCAACTCATCTCTGGGGAACTCATCCATACACACTCATACATTACAGACAATTTAGCCTATCCAATTCACCTGTACCGCATGTCTTTGGACTGTGGGGGAAACCAGGGCACCCGGAGGAAACCCATGCAAACACAGGGAAAACATGCAAACTCCACACAGAAATGCCAACTGACCCAACCAAGGCTCGAACCAGTGACCTTCTTGCTTTGAGAAAACAGCAGTACTTACTGCGCCACCTGCTATCAATTCATTTATTATTATTATACATACTCTTACAAAATCTCCCCAATCATTCATTCAATCATTTTATTTTCGGCTTATTCCCTTTATTAATCTGGGGTTGCCACAACAGAATGAACTGACAACTTATCCAATATATGTTTTACACAGCGGATGCCCTTCCAGCTGCAACCCATCACTGGGAAACATCTATACACTCCTATTCACACATAGTGAGTGATACAATCTCAGCTTGCATCATAAAGGCTGCATCCAGATACTATTGGATAATTTAGCTCACCTGTACCGCATGTCTTTGGACTTGTGGGGGAAACCGGAGCACCTGGAGGAAACTCACGCCAACATGGAGAGAGCATGCAAACTCTACACAGAAATGCCAACTAACCCAGCCGAGACTCGAACCAGCGACCTTCTTGATGTGCATTTTTTGTTTTAAAATGGTCTTATTTATTTATCCATCCACGCTGACTAAAAACAAATACAAATATTTTAATGCACAAAACCATTTCAAAGAGGGAAATATGATAAGATTGTACATAAAGAAATCTGACTATTCACGCCTGACACATCAACAAATAATAATAAAAAACACCGAAAGGGAAATAATGTTTTAAAATATTCACACTGAGGCTAATGTAAAACAGACCTTTCATGATTCCAAAGTAATCAAGACAAAGAAAATGGTCAAATAAATCCCACTTCTTCATTTGAATCACTGTGAACTGGGTCAATACATTATAATTATAATAATTCATTAAAACTTGCACTTGAAGAGAAGATTTGGGGCATATTGATGCAAAGTAAACAGTGAAAAGCAACAAATTACATTATTTTTACAGAAATTCCTTCAGCCTGACGTAGTGTGCCACTGGACAAACACCAATATGTTTATGTAGTACAGTAAGAGTGACTGACACATATTGGAGTCTTACCAGTTTGTAAGGTTGCGCTGCGCGACGCTGATGTCTGTTTTCTCTTGTCTCCGCCGCCGCTGCAGACAGAAGAGAGTTCCGTAGAGCGAGTGTAGCGTCATACGCCACAACTGAAAGAACTACAGCGACCTCTAGTGTCCACATGGAGATATAGTGACCTCCAGAGGTTACTAACACCGCTGCTTTTCAAACTGTTTTCAGAGTCCTCTGTTGACTAGAATAGGTTTGAGAGGGTGCGTTAAAACAATATAAAAATATATTTATGAATAAAACATATATGTTTTCAGTATGATCTTACTGTCAGTTGACATGATATGTGCACTACCTACCTGACAAAAACTTGTCATCGATCCCAGTTGTAAAAGCAAAACATTATAACGACTTCTAGTTGATCATCTGGAAAAGAGGCAGGTGGATTTTTCTGATAAATAATCTGTTGAACTGCATCCAAATCATCACAAACACTGCAGAAAAACTATTGGAACCCGCATGGACCCAAGATTCTCACAAAAAAAATCAGCAATTGTATCAGGATGCAGCCTTTATGACGCAAGCTGAGATTGCATCACTCAGCGATGCAATGTCAGACACAATTCACTCACATGGAGCGAGTGACATCATCCATGGATGCAGCTCAGATTGCACTGCACCAGGTCTGCATCCAGACCCCTCTCAAAATTAGACAAGTTTGGAGAAGGAAAAATCATGGTTTGGGGGGTTACATTCAGGAAGGTGGCACGCAAGAGATCTGCAGAGTGGATGGCAACATCAACAGCCCGAGGAAGACATTTGTGCTGCCCATTACATTACAAACCTCAAGAGGGCAAATTCTTCAGCAGGATAGTGTCTACTCATACATCAGTCTCCACATCAAAGTTCCTGAAAGCAAAAAAGGTCAAGATGCTCCAGGATTGGCCAGCCCAGTCACCAGAAATGAACATTATTGAGCATTTCTAGGGTAAGATGGAGGAGACTTTTTCCACTGCACCATGACTTTATATTCTATACTGTACATTATTTATGTGACAAGTGACAAGACTTTTGTCAAAGCAAAGTCAGACCTTTCTGTCCTAATTAAATCATTAAAAACATGATCCTATTGGTAAAGTAAGCGTAATCTAGTGGCCTTTGTTTTTCATATAAGCGATTTGTGATGCAAAATGATCTTGGTTAGGCGACAAGATTTTTGTCAGATAGTGTTTATATATATATATATATATATATATATATATATATATATATATATATATATATATATATATATATATATATATATATATATATATATATATATGAATAATTTTCATTTACTGTTTTTAAAGTGAAGCAACAGAACATAAACCTTTAGATGCTACTTAGAGGTTTTTGCATATCAACTCCTCACATAGCTACAATATAAGACTAAATATATTTTGAATGAATTTTGTATTAGTTTTAGTTTCCTGGTAGATTTGGACATAATTCTTCAAGTCTGATTTTTACACATTCTATTATTATTTTTGAAAAAGGTTTAACGATTAAGGGTATTTTATTTGAAGTGTCAAATTGAATTTATTTTCAGTTAACTATAATAAAACTAACAGATTTATTGTAGTAAATAAGACCAAAACCAAAAGAAATGGCTAAATGAGTGGCTAAATGAAATAAACTAATAAAACAGGCAAAATATTACTTAAAAATTATTATTATTATTATTATTATTAAAAATATTACCTGTACCTATTTTTCTCCTGAGATCCTGGCAATTTATAAGTAACAAAGATAGCAAAATTATCAAAATCCAGCCCACACCAAACACTTACATCTGGCCCACATTCCACATAGAATGATGGCACTTGGGCAGCACACTCCTGTTTGCCAGATTTGGGCCACAACTAAGCCATAGCAATAATACATATCAGCCATAATTCAACCAAAATGCACAAAAACTGACCCTATTCTCAGTTTGCTTTTATTTTGGTCTAGATTCAGCCCACACTACACTTACATTTGACCCACACAGCCAGAGTTTACTGTGCCAAATATTTGCCACAAGTGGCCCACAAGATACTGGGTCACATTTGCCATATTTTCTCTGGGAAACTTTAGGCTCACAGCCACATTAGCCAGAGCTTACTGTGGCGAATATTTGCCAAATGTGGCCCATATATGTCTTAAGATAACTAGGCCACATTTGCCATATCACATCCGGGCTACTTTAGGCTCACAGCCACATTAGAAAGAGCTTACTGTGCCAAATATTTGGAGAGGGTGCTCGCTGCAGAGCCATTTGAGCAGAGCTGAGCTCCAGCGAGGGGGAGCATGAGCTCTCGTTCTGCCTCCTGTAAGCTGTTTTAATGCGTACACCAACCCCACCCCTAACCCTACCCCCAGTGACATCACTCGTAGAAGAAGTGCAAAAAAAGGTGGAGCTCAAGCTCAAGCTCCCCCTCGCTGGAGCTCAGCTCGCCCAAATGGCTCTGCAGCGAGCACCACTTGAATATTTGCCAAAAGTGGCCCACATGTTTTATACTAACTGGGCCACATTTGCATCTACATGTACACATGTGAGCCTTTGGGTTTAGACCGAGATTACCTTTAATTGACTATGCCACATTTTCATCATTTGGGCCAAATTGACCATTTTCTACATGGGCCACTTTAGTCTCACATTCAGAATACATTTTGCCATGAGTGTCAAATCTTTGCTTTAAATGGTCCATACATGAATTGGAATCTTTGGCCCCCTTTTGCGATTGCACAGGCGGGCCACTTCAGGCTCATGCTCATTTTGTCTGGGCCAAAAGAAGACCACCAATGCCACATAACTGTCCATATTTGTATGCTATCAGGGAATATTACTACTTATGAATGAATAGGTTTGTTTAACAATTTAATTATTTTAAAAAGAACTGGAAGTTCAACGGTGATTGTTGCTTTGATATTCTCTAATGTTGCCTGATTTGAAATCACGACAATTGTATTGTATTCGTATTTATTTGAGTGACATTGCTATACTTGATCTGCCAATGTTTCTTCTCATTATGTCAATTTTTTGATCAAACATGAAATCTAAACTGATTTCATAAACGAGTTTGCTCATGAAACATTTATTGAAGATTATTAAACATTTAATAGATGTCTTTTAGTGTCAATTTAGAGTCTGGAAAGACAGAAAGAAATGAATACACAAATTGGTTTTCGTTAACTATAACTGGGTTTATTATAGTAAACAAAAGTAAATAAATAAATGATAAAACTACAAAAAAATGTAATGTAATTTAAATATTTGTATTGTACTTTTTTTTTTTTTACTTCCGGAACCCTAAAATACTACAAAATCAAAAAATCAATAAATAAATACAAGTTGAAAATAGTTATACATTTATATGTCTTTTTGTGTCTTTAAAAGCAGGAAAGAAAGAAAGAAAGAAAGAAAGAAAGAAAGAAAGAAAGAAAGAAAGAAAACCTAAATCGCAACCCAACGTTAATGTAGTTGCCACTGAAGAAACGACAGGACAAACATCAGTTAGATACATCTTTTTATTCCCCTCCCATAAGAATAGCCACATTGATGAGAAATTCTCTTATTTTGCAGTCAGGCCTCACACATTGATGAGATGAATGAAAAGAGGTCAGTACAAATATCTTACGTCAAACGGCCAGTCGAGAACTGAGTTGCTCTAAATATAAAAAGTATTGTACTATTCATTCCTGACTTGTCGACATCATAACAAAAGGTAAAAAATATGCCCCCAGGAGTAAATACAATTGTGATATTGCACAATAGTTTAAAGTACAGTATGTACAGTTTCACATACAGTGGTCATGCTGCTGTTAAAACAAGTCGAATACACAAGCAGAATGCGATCAGAATATGAGATACCGATGATGAGTAAATATTGTTCACACTTTCACTTGCATATTTACTCATAAACAATAAAAGATTTGAACTTTTGTGGGCCAAAATCTATATTTACATTGATAAAAAGGCCTTTACATTATGAGAGGCAGCAGAAGTGAGATGTCAAACTAAGTAGTAGTAATAATAAAACATTTCAAAGAAGAGATCTGTCATAAAAAAATCACCCTCACAGAACGTAAAGTCAAAATAATACTGAAAAGGGAAAATGAAAAGGGGTCAAATGATGAAAATGATCTTTCTGTCTCCACTACGAGGAACATTCACATACATCTTTTAGTTTTTTGAACTCACAAATCTTCAGAACACTTTGAACATTCAGACTTCTGCTAAGACACGTATAGATGAGACACGATGAAAGGCTAGGTCATCTACAAAATATCCTCATAAAAATATATTCATATATCTCATTTATTGTGAACGTTAACTGACTAACCTTGCAATTATACAAAACAATGTTCAGATTTCTTTATGGAAATGAGGGATGATGAATTTGATATTAGAATATAAATGTGTGAAACACCAAGACATTCTTGTGAATTAGTCCCCCATTATGCCTTTCAAAAGGTCAATTTGAATGTCAGTTTTATCTGAGATGTGGTTATGAATACTGAAACCCTTCCAAATATGTCAGTAAACAAAAAGCCTTCAAGTGAATAATTTATCTAAATTAAAAAACGGTTCATATCCTGTTTTTCAAATTCAGGTATGAGCTCACTGAAAGAAAATGATGTCTGCAAAATTGTTGCAAACAATATATGTTAATTTTAAACAAACAACTTGAATTTAGTAATGTCCAAATTAATGTGTTTGTTTAATTTCAGCCCAAATAAACTGTTTACAACCACTTAAAAAAAAAAGGAATAATTTTTGAAAATTTTTTTCAGTGCTGATGAGACAAAGACATCTCTTAACTAAAACCTGGATTTACTTTAAGACAGATTTTCCATAATGTTAAACCTAGATATTTATCACACATACCCGCTATGAATTTTCTTTCTTTTTTAAATATTTCCCAAATGATGTTAAACAGAGCAAGGAAATGTTCACATTATGTCTGATAATATTTTTCTTCTGAAAGAAGTCTTATTTGTTTTATTTTGGATAGAATTTAAGCTGTTTTTAATTTTAAAAAATAGCTAGTAAAATATTATTTACTGTCATCATGGACAGATGAAATAAATCAGTGATTAGAAATGTGTTAATAAAGCTTTTATGTTCAGAAATCTTCTCTCCGTTAAACAGAAATTGTGGAAAAAAATAAACAGGGGGGCTAATAATTTAGGGGGTTTAATAATTCTGACTTCAATTGTATTCGTATATATCAGTTATCTAAAATCAATCTGTGTACCATGTCTCTTAGTGAAATTATAATATCTATGAAATTTGAGTTTTATTGCATATTTTATTTTAAAAGTAAATTTATACTTTACAAAAAAAGAGAAATAATCATTTTGACACCAAAATTTGACAAATTGACAAAATGTACAGTGCAATATATTCTTAATAAATCACTGAAAAATGAATCAAAGATGATTCATTGTATTTACTCAATTTTTTAAGGTAAGTGGTTGTTAACAATTTATTTAGGCTGAATTTAAACAAACAAATTAAGTTGATTATTGATAAATTTTTATTAGTTTGTTTAAATCCAGCATATGAATTGCTTGCAACAATTTTGCAGACATCAAAATTTTTTTAGAGTATACAAACTAAATCCATTCATTCAAAACTTTTATATAACATTGCTTTCCTCAACCCATCAGATCTAATTTTGCTAAGCTTGTTTTTGCCACAGAGTTAAAAAAAAAAAGGTCATTTTTTTGGGACTTTTTATCTCAAAATTCTTATTTGTTGTTCTCTAATGCAGCCATTATGAACATATCACTCCAGCAATTACCAAAGTCTATAACACGATACTAACATATATATTTTTGGATCGTTATCGTTAGTTATTTTTTACATTAGCTCCAGATTTGGCTTCAGTACTGACCAATCTAATATATATATATATATATATATATATGTACAAACATAATATATAGCTTCCTATTAAAAATATGAATTTAAAAGATAGATTTGAGAGGGGTGTACTTATATATGCTGAGCACTGTATATATATATATATATATATATAAGGATTTATTTTCATACAATCTGAAAGAAAATAAGGAATTTTAGAACAAACTTCCAACTGTAATAAATAAATGCAAATCTGAAGAAAAAAGTGAGGAAAAAAATCCAAAAAGTCAGAATTCTGAAATGTAAACACTATGCTAGATAAAAACTAAGGATTGAGAAAAAAGTCAGAACTGCAGGATATGACTTTAAAATAATGAGAAATACATTTTTTGATGAAAGGGTCAAAATTGCTAGATATAAACTAGCAACTGTGAGAAATAAAGGGATGGAAAGTCAGAATCGAAAGAGATAACTAAATTGCAATTTATTTATTATTATTTTAACTATTATATCTTGCAATTCTGACTATCAGATGTAGAACAACTGATTAACAGTATATAATATAAAAAATATAAAGTGAGAATTTAAAGAGGTTCTAAACTTACTATTATAATGTGTAATATTATTGAATGTTTATTATTATGTAGTATATATGGTCACAATTTATTTTAATGGTCTGGTTTGTTGAATTAAGTTACATTGTATCTACATGCCAACTAATGCTCAATAGATTATAAGTAGACTGTTAGGTTGGGGTTGTAAGCTAACGTACATACAAAGTTTCTTATAGTCAGTTGAATGTGTTTAGCAGCAGTATTAACAGATATTAAGCAGACAGTCTACTAATACTCCAGTGGACCATCAAAATAAAGTGTTAGCATATATATTAATAAAATGTACATGATGAAAAATTAATTCATTTTCTTTTCGGCTTAGTTTCTTTATTGATCAGGGGTCACCACAGCGGAACTTATCCAGCATATGTTTTACGCAGCAGTTGCCGTCCCAGCTGCAACCCAACACTAGAAAACTATGAGAAATGAAATCAGAAATCAAATAGAATTGTGAAATATCGCAAGATAAAAAGTTGACCTTTTATTTAATGTTTTATTTGATTACAAAAACTGGCTTTTGATACTTTCTGCTCAGACAAATACATCTCAAAAATGTAAAGTGCCATTTCATTTATTGGGATTCTGCATTTACCTTTTTTTAATGCACATAGACAGCTACTGAATCCAAAAAGGCACCTTGAATTATATCATTGAATGGGTTTTCAGTGGTCTCACCTTCATCTACAATAACAAACGCTGATAATACGTTTGGGTGTCATATGCCAATGCTTTCTCACAGCCTGCACGAATGAATCACAGACAAAACAATGTCAAAATAACATCTTTATGCCATGATACATGCCTTCAGCAAAACAAATGCTTAAGAGCGAGAGGTGTTTGGCAAAGAAAACAATAAACCGAAGGCTTCCACGAGAAATAGATGAGCATAGCTGTGCAAAAGGCTACAAATAGACAGTGTAGATTTGACATAATTCTCGGTGCATGCCTTGTTTTCTTCCCCTCGCTGAAATAACGGTGATATACAATCTAATGTCATTGTAAAGATAAATATCTGTCGATTGTGCAGTGAGTTAAATCAAATATTCATATAGAGAATTGAACCTTTACAGTCTGTCTAGAACTTTTTCCACACAAGGACTTTTTGTATAATCAGAAGAACACAAGAAGAACATGATTCGACTTTTCGTAAAAGAAAGGATTTTGGCAAAATTATTATTTCATGTAAAAAAAAAAGGAACACGTGGTGACGTGATTCAATAACGTGATGCAGATATTACACACTTAAAAGACTTCTGCCAAAACACAATAGAAAGAGACAAGCCGGTCACTATGTACAGTACAGTTTCTCAAACCGGTGATGGGCTTGATCCCAAAACATTAGTTCTGATACTGAAAAAAAAACTGATTCTGAAAGAGTCTGTGCACCCCTAGATGAACCATTCCTTCTTGCTTTCGTCGATGGTCTCTGTGAAATTGGCCTCGGTGCCAATAATGGCGGCGTCGGCTGATTCGGACGACTCTCCCCCCTTGGCTTCATTGGTGTGGTATGTGCCTTTATGGCGAAACATGTACCGGATCAGAAACACCAGAGTGCACAGAATAGTGAAGATCACCACCGCAATGATGCCTGCAAGGAGAACACATTCCCCACTGATTAAACAACAGCATAAAAACAGTTCATCTGAATTAGATATCAATATGTGTCCGTCTCACCTCCTATTATAGCTGAATTTCTGTTAACTCCATCTGGTATGACTCTTTCCTCATTGAAGGGGAAATCAGCACCTATAGGAGATAACAACATTTTAACTTGACAAAGGTTGTTAAATAGGCTATGTGAAGACCCACAGTGGTGAAAATATAGCTTTTAATGTTTAAGCTTTTAATGCCTGTTATGGATCTAACTTCTCCACAAAGGCATTTTGAGTGTTGGTTCAGAGACGGAGTTTAGTTCAAAATTGACACGATAAAAAACATCTGTAAATTAACAGTTGTATAATATATTTTGTGATTTATGTTTTATTTTTTTTTAAAGATGTTGATCTTTCTTCTGACAACTTTTAACCTTTAAAGTTGGAAAAAGTGACTTTTATGAACATTTTTAATAGTTTAAAGTGATGTATTGTCTGGGTTGGTGTTGTATTTTATGCTGCAAATTGTAATAAGCTGCCAGTACAGTTTCTGTTGTTTTACACACTCATTTCTCCATAAAATATCTCTTAAACATTATTTTATTTCAAACAAGTAAAATGTCAATAAAAGTCACTTTGTTAAACTGTAAATTTAACAACATCAAAAGTCGACAGAGCAGAGATTAAGGTCCCATTATGAAATTCTCAATCGTAAATATAGGCAAAACACTAAATACGGAAACTGGTAATAAACAAATATTTTTTACAGTGTAGTTCCATACAGTGTTGTCTTTTAACACAAATCTCTGGTTCTGAATCATTTTTTATGGCACATTTGCACTGAACAGTATGTTTTGGTCAACGCAATCTCACAGCAATTCTTAACTTCTGATTTAGTGGCTAATTCGTATGAATTCGTATGATCTCATTCGTACAATTTAGAACGATTTTCTCATCACCCAATGACGGTTGGGGTTAGGGATGGGGTTGGGTGCCACGCCTCCTTTATAAAATCGTACATTTTCGTACGACTGAACTCATACAAATTCGTACGAATTGACCACTAAACTGACAAGACGTAAAATAGTTACGTTTCTTCGTGAGATCAGGCTGGTTTTGGTACAGTATGCATTTATGTCTTATTCCGTTGTCAAATGTACAAAACAAAAAAAAAGCAAACCAAACTGTTCACTTAATTGTGAACCTTTCCGAAGGGTATCGAGCACATCAGAATGTGGAGCTATATTCGTAGCTGAATGCTATTGGTTTACAGAGAATCATTAGCAGCATGTGCTACAAGGTAGAACAACAAACCAGGAAGAGTCATTCTTAAATACACAGCCGAGGCACGACACCGTAATAATACTGGTGCGCAGCAATGAATGGGCTTGCCGTACACCACAGTGCTCGTAAAAAGCCAGCATGGACCTGGGCAAGAATGTTTGCTGGGCTAACAATGCGGTATGAACAAAATTTTGTTTCATGGTATGACAAAGTTTATTGCACGGTAACAATATCTTCTTTCAAGATATTGTTTTTTACAAAGTTACTAATTCCAGAAAATGTACAAAAAGGCTTTTTAAAAAAAACAACAAATAAGCGAATGAATATTTAAGAAAAGGACTTGATTATTTTGTATTTTATTTTTACCCTAATAAATAAACATAATAGGCAAAATCTGACTTCAGATATACAATAAATTCCATTGTATGTCACTTTCACAGCGTTATGTGGAGATACCTTGTTTTTATAAACATTTCTCATTTAACATTTTCTCACAGATGTAAAATATATCCCAACAGGAAAATAAAACTTAAATATGAAAGTATAAATATGTAAACACTTTAAGGAAGTATAAGCAGTTTCTTTCCCTCAAATATACAAAAAATAAACAATTGCAATTTAAAGTGATCAGTTCTTGTTGAAAATATAGTTTCTTTTGCATCCCACTTATTTACATTGCACAGAATATATGGAATAAAAAAATATTTTACGGTACACAGTTCATTCCATGGTAATGATATATGTACAGTCATACCGGCCAAACCTAATGTAAAGTATTAGAATGAATCTTATCAATATAATACATGTGGGACTTACTACATGACAAAAGTCTTGTCGCCTATCCAAGTTTTAGGAACAACAAATAATAACTTGAATTGTGGTTGATCATTTGGTATCAGAAGTGGCTTGTATAAAAGGCAAAGGCCTTTAGACACTTTTTTTTAAACCAAAATAAAATGATCATGCCTTGATTTTAAATTATTTAATTACGACAGTAAGGTCTGATTTTGCTTCGACAAATGTCTTGTTACTTAACAAGAAATAATGTACAGTACTATATAGTATAAAGTCATGGTGCAGTAGAAAAATAATTACTATTGTGTATGACTCCCATGATTTTGTAGGACTGCATCCATACATCTCTGCAATGACTCAAATAACTTATTAATAAAGTCATCTGGAATGGCAAAGAAAGCCTTCATGCAGGACTACCAAAGTTTAGGATTCTTTGGATTCATCTCAAAGCCTCCTCCTTCATCTTACCCCAAACATGCTCAATAATGTTTATGTCTGGTGACTGGGCTGGCCAATCCAGGAGCAGCTTGACCGTCTTTGCTTTCAGGAACTTTAAGGTGGAGGCTGAAGTATGAGAAGGTGCGCTATCCTGCTGAAGTATTTGCCCTCTCCTGTGGTTTATAATGTAATAGGCAGCAAGAATGTCTTGATACCTCAGGCTGTTGATGTTGCATCCACTCTGCAGATCTCTCGCATGCCCTCATACTAAATAAAACCCCAAACCATGATTTTTCTTCACCAAACTTGACTGATTTCTGACTGATTTAGACTGATCAACTAGAAGTCAAGTTGTTATTTGTTGCTCTTAAACCTTATGACAAGACTTTCGTCAGGTAGTGTAGACTGAAAACACTCTAATATAAAATCATTTTCTCTTCTCCAAAAATGTATTACATATACAAGTGGACTAACTTTAAGAAGCTCACGGTGTAGCTTTTCCTCCTGTCTAACATGTTTGTCAAATAAACAAACATATTACGGTTTAATCTAATGCTGTTTTAGCTGAGTCCAGAATATCGGTCCGTACAGGAGCTATTTTGCTCACTAACTGGGAATTGACCTTTTTAGAAAATTGCTGTGCAGAGTAACAGGAGGCCCGTTTATTTAGTTTGTCGAATCTAACATGTGCCACTTTCGTCCAGAATTTGTGTTTGATGTTAAATCAAATTGAAAGCAATGCCATAACTGTGGCAGTTCAGAGGCACATTATGGTTGTTTTCTATAAAAGGTGGGCAGATCTTGTTGGTCAGGTCAATGCTTCATTGTGAAGTTGACAAGGCTAATAAACTAGTATTGGAAATGAAATGTCAAAGGGGTTTTGTGCCACTCCAGGGAAATAATGCTGGGTTCCATTTGTACTTGGCAAGGAGTTCTCAGCAAGAACTTTTAACTCATAGCTGCAAATCTATGCTGGAAACTGGGTCAGTGTTAGAATCAGGACAGGAGGACTTCAGTTCATTTTTAGAACTAAAAGATTTTTGTTTACATTATTATTTTGGATTTTTGTATCTGCAATGAAACAACAGTTAAAACAAATTCATCTTGTGATCCTTGGCTGCAAATCCCAAATGAGTTGCAATACACTATGCTTGTGAACACTATGCACTTATACACGTAACCATGGTGTTTGAGTTTAGTGTCGTCCCAAATGGAACACAATTTAATTATTTTTGTTTCTAATTGGAAATGTAAAACTTTTTCCATGTCAATGTTTAACCGCTGCCAATTTAGTGAACAGTACCTGTCATAAATACAACCGCATTCACCATTGAAAGGTAGCATAATCAATTGCTTTAGAGAATTTTGCTTGTGCAATCCAAAATAAATAATCCAACCATAGTGTCTACTGTCTAATATCTTCTTCCATTCCACTACGTGAGCAAAGCTGTAAAATTTGAGAGCATGAAGTGTCCAACATTCCACACTTCTTTTTATTGGCTAAATAAGTGCATCATCCGGGTATTTAAAGTGCACATACTTTTTAGAACTTTCCCTGTGACTGCACCACTCATACACCATAATTCTATTATACTACAAAATGACATAGAACACTGCATAAGTATGTGATTTGGGACAACCTACTGTTTTATAATGAAGATATAAAGTTTTGTTTTGATTTTGCATGTTTACATTTATACTCCAGACACACATTACTACTGGTCAAGTATTCATATCATTAAACAGAGATACACAGAGGAGATCAAATTAAATTGTCCTGAATTTCGAGATCGCTGATTAGACCTGTTTTAAGTGATCCTACACTCTTAGAATAACAGGTAGGAGAGCTATCACTGCAGGGCACACTACATATAAGTTCTTAGTACCTACAGCAAATAGTCCATACCAGTACCACATTACAGGTACATTTTAGTACCTTAACAGTACAAAAGTGTACCATTTTGTGTTATAAAATGCTATAGATCAGTCATGGAGAACAAAAACATGTAGCTACAAATGTAAATCGTATGAACAATAACTATTAAGTTTACTTCACTATTATGTGCCAGGTGAAAAAATAATAATTAAATGACTCAGTCTAATCTTCAAGAAAAGCCCACAGTTAGCTCTTCTCTTCTGTCATGTTTTTTTTTTTGGCTGACTTTAGTTTGCTTTGCTTCTGCTTGCTTCTATTCTAGTCCATTCACTCACTCCCATCTTCTCAAGACTCTTTTGATCAGGCTCATTATCAGATTTACTCGTGGTTTAAAAAAATGAAAATATGTTTGACTGCCTCTTTGTCATTTTGAAAACACAAATATTATTTAGGTTGGGCATTATACCATTATTTATTTACACTGCTCACTGTGCATGAAACAATCCCCACCAACCAACGAGAGTGATTGTAAACATAAGAAAACTGATTGGCTGAAAATTTTGTTGAGGGCCAATAGATTTTTCCTTTAACTTGTGCATGGTGACTACCGTCATGTGTGTGCGCGCACACACAATCCACATAGACTTTGCTTATTCACCACACACAAGTTAATGTCACAGCCATATCACCCTGCAGCCCAAGACCGGTTACTCACTGAAGTTAAGCAGGGCTGAGCCTGGTCAGTACTTGGATAGGAGACCACTAGGGAACACTAGGTTGCTGTTGGAAGTGCTGTTAGTGAGGCCAGCAGGGGGCGCTCAACCTGTGGTCTGCATGAGTCTTAATGCCCCAGTAAAAGTGAAGGGGACACTACACTGTCAGTGGGCGCCGTCTTTCGAATGAGACGTAAAACCGAGGTCCTGACTCTCTGTGGTCATTAAAAATCCCATGGCACTTCTTGTGAAAGAGCAGGGGTGTAACCCCGGTGTCCTGGCCAAAGTCCCTCTATCGGCCCTTACAATCATGGCCTCCCAATCATCCCCATCCACCGAATTGGCTCCATCACTGTCTCTCCACTCCACCAATAGCTGGTGTGTGGTGAGCGCACTGGCGCCGATGTCCTGTGGCAGCCGTCGCATCATCCAAGTGGATGCTGCACACTGGTGGTGCTGTGGAGAGACCCCCCCTCATGATTGTGAAGCGCTTTGGGTGTACGGCCATACAAAATAAATGCGCTATATAAATACACATTACATTACATCACAATGTCGGATCAATTAAAATAAATACTGGAATGCAAATATCTGACATTTTCCGGAACAGGATCTGGCTCAAATTAAGCACTGCATTTTGTCATTTGACAGATTTATTAACCGGGGTTAAGGTGCTCTTAGAAGAGATGGTACCCTAAAAAAATACCAATTTACAGTACATATTTTTCTAAATCTAAAAACTGATGGTAGAAACTGGTACCCTTAAACATACCAGCGTCTTCCCTTTAGATTCAAATGTGTACTTTTGGAAAAATCCCACCACAGTGATTGCTCTCATACCTTTATTTCTGAGTATAAAAGGAGCATAGTATTTGAAATCTCTCTGAACGTTCTTTTTGAGTTTAATTCGGCAATTCGAAAGTGAAATTTTGAGAGAAATCATTTTAGCTCCTAATTACCTTTGAGCTACCACAGGTCCATGGTGACTACATACTTAATGGGTGTTTTCTGGAACTGGCATTGTTTGACGTGCAGTTTCTTACCCCTGATTAAGTTCTCATTCAGGGGGTCAGACTGGAGAGTAAAGTAGCAGTGCTGGTATACTGATGTATCTCACTGAGAGATTTTAAAGACTCAATTGAGGGCACACATCACCTTCTTTAAATTTTAGACACGAACTTAATATTTCTTAAAATATATCTTAAAATATTTGACAATCCCTATTTAAAATATAGTACACAACCAGCATTTACCGACTTTGCAAGATGGTGAGCAATTCTAAACTGACTGAAACCCTCTGGCAGCAGGTTGTCCAGATAAAAGCCAAATGAAGCCATAGATATAGCAAGGCAAGCTGATCAAAATCTGTGATTTCTAGAGTATTGCATCTTGACAAAGTCACTCATTCAGAAACATTCAAAATCCACAGGAGGACAGGATGATGCAGATGCTCAATGGTTGGTCAGTTGGGTCAAGACTTTAGCTGGGATCTGTGTCTTTATAATTCACACATTTAAGCAGTAATATTTCTTCATGCAAATTTTATTGAATTGTTTTCCAATATTGAGCACTGTGCTTTCATCCAAAACGAGGGATTTGCTGAAGCACTAAAACATTGCTATAACTAAACTTCCTTGAAATTTGTATGATAAATATTTCATTAGTTCTGAAAATATCAAGTGTTTATAAATTGTTGTCTAATTTTTATAATGAATGTAAACAAAATGTGTATGTGGATGAATTGCTTAAACACATTATATATGTTAACCTGCATCCAGGTGCCATGGATCGGTTGCTGCAGACATGGGTGGGATGGTGAGGGGTGAAGCTCCGCAGTTTGATTCCACCAGTTTCCCCTGGTGCGAGACGGACACTGAACCGCGGGACCTGAGTGCCGCTTTCAGAGGAGCGATGCTGTTGAACTGGACTCTGGACAGGCAACCCACAAACCCCGGGGTGTTGTATTTTTCTATAAGCACTGGATCAATGTAACCGGTTTCTGTGGGAGGAAGAGATACAGATAGGGATCTAAAGTTAGACTGAGAGCAAGAGAATCATCATTTTGATGTTTGAAATGTCAGATGACCTGAAATACAAGATAGCTGCAGAAAACTGATCCAAGCTTTGTTCCGGCAAATGTATTACATTTCATTGGAATGAAGGGACAAGATCAATGCATGTTCATGTATAATGCTTACACACAAGAGATCTGCATTAGGGCAATCGAAAATAAAAGCTTGAGGGGATCTGGATCTGAACAAAGAATGAAGCTTTTCTAGTTGCAATACAAATGTTGGTTAAGTTTAATAAAGACAATTCTGATCCTGCTGGGTTTAAGAAATGCTATTTCTTTATGTGTTGCCATACTGAATGTTTGGCCCTCCTGTCGTGTTCGCCTCCCGCCCCTTACTTTAGTCTTTCCAGTCAAAATCGACCGGTGGTTTTAACCTGCTCTTTAATTAGCACAAAAAACCAACACAAAAACCCTATTTTATATTCTTTAGATGTCTCAAAGTAGTGTTTAACATGAATTTGTAGAATTAGATATAAAATAACTGCAGTGAAAATACAAATAGTGAGTGAGTTGGGATGGTGTACAGTATATCTGGACGTTTTCTGTCTAATGGAAGAATATAGTCTGGAAACCCATTCGTTTCTTATGGCGGTCACTTTTGACCGGTAACACCACTGGTGTAATATTATAAAAAATACATTAAAATAAGTTACCAAAATGAAATAAAATACCAAATACCTTAATTTTACATGTATGAAAATAAACTGCAAAGTACAGCAGCCACAAATATATCAACATAAAATACTGTATTTTGTATTTTAAAAATTCTACAAAACAATAAAAAAAAGAGCATGACATTTCTTTGCAAATCTTCCATCAATTAGACATATTCAATCAATCCCATCCCCATTAAACTGTGAAGTAAACAATATCTGATGGCAAATGTGGCCAGTAAAATTTCCATCATCTCTGTACATTGAATATTTCTACCTCTTAACATTTTAAAAAGGTGTTAAATAAAAAGTTAATAAATGCTTTGTTCACAGAATCTTTCTCTTCAATACTCAATGTAAAAACTGTATTAGGGTTTTTTGATTATTTAATATTTGTGTTTCATATGCTGTGACATCTTAAAACCTATATCTTTCCTCTTTATTAACTATACAGTGGACCTACTGATCAAAAACTGGCATTTAAAATAGCCAATGAAGTGTTGTAGTATTCACTGTAGGGCTTCTTTTTTATGTAGCTCGTTTAACTACAAACATTTGGCATCAGCAATCCATCCAAAACTACTGTTATTTGTACAGTATACTATTTCTCCTAAGATTTTTTCAATTCTTCTTTAAATGGAAGAGTCATGGAAATCCAACGCACCAATCAGAGGGGGCATTTATATGATGTCTTGATGTAGATTTCTAACAAAGTATTTTACAGTACTTTAAAAATACAAAACACTAAAGTATTTTGATACAAATTACAAAACCCTATTTTGTATTTAAAATATATATCTAAAATACATGTATCATAAATACTGCCCATTTATTATTAACAAGGTTGACTAAAACACTCAAAATTCAATGAAAGAGGTGATCATCACTTTTATATGCTCAAATGCATGGTGTGGAGGATATCATAAGGCCTTGAGGCAATCAGATGTAAAGCACAATATTTAAGAGTGTCTTAAGTTGTTTATCGGTCAGATTTGACTAGAACATGACAGGAAGGTTAAAGAAATAGGTCATTTAAAAAAAATAAAATAAATGGAACAAACTTTTCAAGAATCAGTCAATTTAGTTCACAATAGTTCTCTCGGTTGTTTGCTCATGGTGTAATCTCATTCAGCAATGACTTATTTGCTTCTCTTGAAATAAAACAAAGTGCATATATTAAGACTTCAAATGCAAAAACCTCTAAGTGCCGTCTGAAAATGTCCTCTAAAACTTGCATTTTTCTTAACATCCTATGGTTATGTTCAGTTATTTCACTTTAAAGGCAATGAAAATGACCTATTCTTTGCACTAAGAGTAAAATTTCTTAAACTACACACACCAGCCTGAGAAAAATGCTGATTTTAGCAGAACATTTCAGATGGCACTTAGAGGTTTCTGCATCTAAATATTTTAATTAAATATGATTTATATAATATTACTAAAACAATTATATATTAAGCCTAAATAGAAATATTTAAAATCAACAAACACATGTAACATCATTAAACTTAAAGTTAAATTAAATAAAAAATGTTAAAAGCAAATTGGATATATTCATATAAGTATATAATGTAAAATAACACTGATTCCAGCTAAGTAGTAAAAAATAAGCTTAAATCCAATTTCAGTAAAGACAACCAAAAGTATTAAAACAAAGGCTAATTCATAATGTTAACAATTACTATGATATTATAGAAATGATAATGCACACTTTGTTCCTAACATATGACTGCAGTGGGCTTGTCATATGCGTCTTTCACCACTTTTATCCTCCACAGGAGAAAGAAAGTGATACAGTTTTCTTCAGACAAGCTTCAGTCAAAAGACACTGTCATAAAACACTTGACATTTCTTTACTTTTCTCTTTTCTCATTCCTTCTGGCGAACTGAAACTTCATGATAGCTTCAAAAAGCAGCAGAGATTTGCCCATTGAACGCTAAACAGACAGAAGAGTGAGTCACGAGTTAAAGACTAAACCTCTTCAATTCTGCGTCTGTAAAACCTCTTCAAAGCAGCTAAATTCAGCATTTTCTTTCCACAGCCAGAGGTAAAGCACACACCATCACACAAAAAACATACAATGGAGGAAAACAGAGAAGGCTTTCTTTGTTGTGCATCAAAAGCAGCTCAAAGTGTTGATGATTCTTTTGATTCAGCGTTTCACAGTTTTGCAGCAAGTATGCAAGAGATAAGAGCATATCAGTAGATCAAGGCTTGTTTGGCTTCAGGATTATATTGAAAATTAAATATTTTATTGTGCACTTCATATCCTGAAACTGATTTGGCCCGACAAACAAGATAACGTTGACTTCTATTAAAGTATAAAGTTTCATTTTTTCTTGTTAATTTTAAAATATAGATATGTTTAAAATATTTTATAATTTATATTTTATAATATAGATTTTTAACTACAATATAAGACCCTGGAGCACAAAACCATATTTTCAAGACTATTTTTTTTCTAACTAACTTACAATACTATATAAAAAAAAGATTATGATTATTTTTTTCATTAATACATGGTTTGTTAGGAGGATAGAGCAATATCAAATACAACAACTCAAAAGTCTGGAGTTTAAGGGTTCACCTTTAAAATTGTCCATATTAAACTCTAAGCTTTGATAATTACTAATAAAATATAAGGTTTTGATATATTTATAGAACAATTTAAAAATATAACTTCATATAACTATGAATATAAATCATACAGTTTGTTGTTGGGTAGTCCAACACTGTAAAAAATCATATGAATGTTTAGTCCTGACAGCATACGGCATATGTTTTTAGTTCATTGTAACTTATTTGTGGTGAGGGAGCGTGGCCGAGAGCCGTGGGAATGGAATGAGGCCGCCGTGTAAGTGGATGCACCTGCGGTGCGCACCGGCCTCGAATCCCACAGAAGGAGCTCTGGACTATAAAAGGAGGAACGATGGCAGAGGAAGCCGAGAGAGGACAGGGTCCGGGCATATTGTTTTACTTTTGCTTTCAGTTTGACGGCAGTCTCCGTGAGTGGCTGCCGGCCGTTTGTTTTGGTTTAGATGGCAGTCTCCATGAGGAGCTGCCGTCCCTGTTATTAATAAATAATTTAAACCTGCTTCGTTTTTCCGCCTCCTTCTTCCCGGCGGCCAAAGGGCCGTGAACAGTGGTGCCGAACAGTGAACAGTGGTGCCGAAACCCGGGAGAAGGAGGGACACGTTGTCCAGTTGCCCTCGCCGCTGAAAGGGGGGCGAGTGTTCGGGAGTTAACCCGAGTGGGGGAGAAACCCGTTCGTCTGCCCAGAGTGCCGGGGCGCCCTGAGGCTGGCGGCATCTCTGGTCTCCTGCTCCGCTCCTGCTTCGGTGGACGGATGCAGGCTACGGCATCATGGCGGATCGCGGCGACTCCCCCGGGTTCTGTAGGATGACTCCCTTCAGCACTTTACCTTCCGGTGGTGAGCCCCCCGTCCCCTGCTCCTCCCCATGCTGGGAGACGGCAGCAGGCAGATCCTTTCCTCGCCAGCCTTAGACCGCACCGGCACTCTGGGCAGACGAACGGGTTTCTCCCCCACTCGGGTTAACTCCCGACCACTCGCCCCCCTTTCATCGGCGAGGGCAACAGGACAATGTGTCCCTCCTTCTCCTGGGCTTCGGCACCACTGTAATAATGTTCACGGCCCTTTGGCCGCCGGGAAGAAGGAGGTGGAGAACCGACGCAGGCTTAAATTATTTATTAATAACAGGGACGGCAGCTCCTCACGGAGACTGCCGTCAAACTGAAAGCAAAAGTAAAAGTAAAATATGCTCGGGCCCGGTCCTCTCTCGGCTTCCTCTGCCATCGTTCCTCTTTTTTTAGTCCAGTGCTCCTTCCGTGGGATTCGAGGCCGGTGCGCACCGCAGGTGCATCCACTTACGCGGCGGCCTCATTCCGTTCCCACGGCTCTCGGCCACGCCCCCTCACCACATTATTAAACTAAGTTAATCATGTTCTAACTTAAGTTTTTAAGTTACATAAGCTGTTTTAAGGCGAGGGAGTGGCGCAGTAGGTAGTGCTGTCGCCTCACAGCAAGAAGGTTGCTGGTTCGAACCTCGGCTCAGTTGGCGTCTCTGTGTGGAGTTTGCATGTTCTCCCTGCCTTCCTGTGGGTTTCCTCCGGGTGCTCCGGCTTCCCCCACAGTCCAAAGACATGAATTGGGTAGGCTAAATTGTATGTAGTGTATGAGTGTGTGTGTAAATGTGTGTGTGGATGTTTCCCAGAGATAGGTTGTGGCTGGAAGGGCATCTGCTGCGTAAAAA